ATGTGTAACTGTCATCATCTTATATCAGGGATGTTTATCGGTTTAATTGATGCATACCTTGGGGTGCAATGTCATTAAAATAAAACAATTAATATTTGATAATTGCGTTGAGCCAGTTTAATTTTATTGATGTAATGCTGTGCTTAGGCATTCGTACTGATTATATTTTGTTTTTGATGAAGTTTACTGAAAGAACTCCATGGGGGGAGAACAGAGGCAATTATTGATAACACTTGGTGGGATGAGATGTAGCTGACTCAGCATTATCCATTATCTCGAGAGACCATCTCACACCACCCATCCTTCACACCCATCTCCAGAGACCATCTCACACCACCCATCTTCCTCTTTCCATACCGGGGCGGTCGGGTAGCCTAGTGGTTAAAGCGTTCGCTGGTCACGCCGAAGACCCGGGTTCGATTCCCGACATGGGTACAATGTGTGAAGCCCATTTCTGGTGTCCCCCGCCGTGATATTGCTGGAATATTGCTAAAAGCGGCGTAAAAACATACTCAGTCAGTCAGTCTTTCCATACCAACACCACCAATTTTGAGAGACCATCTCATCCCACCCATCCTCCACCATCCATCTCAACACCACCCATCTCCTGAGACCATCTCATCCCACCCATCCTCCACCATCCATCTCAATACCACCCATCTCCTGAGACCATCTCATCCCACCCATCCTCCACCATCCTCCACCATCCATCTCAACACCACCCATCCCCAGAGACCATCTCATCCCACCCGTCTTCCAGCATCCATCTCATACAACCCATCTTAACACCATCCATCTCATACCACCCATCTCAACACCACCCATCCCCAGAGACCATCTCATCCCACCCATCTTCCACCATCCATCTCATACCACCCATCTCAACACCACCCATCCCCAGAGACCACCTCATACCATCATCCTTCCCATCATCGTTCACCATCCGCCTCGCACCACCCATCTCAACAACGCTAACACCCATGCTCCTCATCCATATGAGCACCACCCTTCCTATGAGAGCAACACAAGGAGTAGGATACCATCCCCTCCCTACATATATTCTTCCACATCAATATCTACACCCTCATGGCAAGAGCCAATACTGAAGAAATGCATGGATTATGTTAAAGATTAGACTATATTTCCCCATGTGAAATATTAACATGACAGCCGGAAGACAGCTGTTTAGAGTGCAACGTAATCAATCACAAATGGTTGGTTAAGAGCAATCGATACATTTATTATAGTTATGACTCATATATTTCCGATGTAATCATCAAAGAATTGTAGACAAGGCTCTTGGGATATAGTATTTCCTCATATATTTAATGAATTAACAGGTGAGGTTTTTTTTAGACAGAGCCTGTCATGTCATGGTGAGATAGGCATATTGTTTTGTTATATCTGATTGTCTGACCACGTATGATTTAAACAGTATTTTATTTCCATTAATGTTCAGATTTTACATTACATAACGTTACAAAATGGAAAAAGGATTAGCAAACAGACCACGTATGATGTCGAGGATGTTGGATTTTTCAATGATGATTTCATTAATGGATTGCAAATTTAGTATATTATGAAAGAATTATTGACTTAAAATATGAATATTGTTGATTTTGAAGGATTATGACAGAATTTGTATGGTTTAAACATATTTATTTTCACAAAAGTGTGAAAATAGATTGGTAAACAAGCAAAGCGCTCATGTTAATACCGCTCCATTACACATAGGACATATTATAATAAATATATCAATGAAGGTTAGATGTAACAAATGAAGTGTACATGCCAAGCTAGATGTGTACATATAATAAATCCATTTGCATTTTATTTTAAACTATCATTTAACTGAAAATCTGCCAGTTTTTAATATAAAGTGTTGAATAGAATCTAATATTAGCATTTGCTCTTCATTACTCAAATCCGAATTTCTGCATAGCACTGTTTGTAAAGAATAACCCTGTTAGTAAAAATACATTTCATTTCGAAGAGCATAGTAATTTGTACACACAAAAAAGAAGTGTAGAGCATCTTCGGTGTGATATCCACAGGAACAAGTTTTTGTATCAAAGATATGTCTATTATACTGATCTGCGTTAACATAGCTGCAGCCAAACCTGAGGCGACTGTGAATGATTTGGCATAATCTGCTTCCATAATTTAAATCCCAGTGTATACTATTATCTCCCTTTACGTGAAGCAAATTCTTAAATTGTGTAATGGTCTCTGCCCCCGTAAGGTTTTTTGGTAACAGAAATCGTATTACAGAGGTTATGGGATGAGATTACTAGGTTGCCAATTGGGATTTGGAAGTTCTTCTGACATAAGTTTAGTATGGCTGTGTGTATGTATATTTATATATATATATATATATGTATCTTAGGTAAGCATCTATTATCAGAAATTTATTACAACATTTTTATTTATTCATAAATAGTCCATATGGACTGTAGTTATGCATATGGCGTTGTGGAACTGACAAGGTGAATGTTTATAAGTTTTTGGAGAAATGGTAACTGAAATTGATCTATTGTTGTACTGAGGGGTTAAGTGTTTCGTTGAAAGAGCCTGTGTCAGTATCCTAGGTTGGAATAGAGAGGAGTTATGACTTAAAAATCACAAAAAATATTTTGATGGATTTATTGACTTGAATGATTAATACAGTGTGCATTGCTTATCACAAGTCAATGGTTCTGTATTATCAGGATCAATGTAACCATGCAATAGCTCACTTCTGTTTGATGGGTGATAAAACTGATTACAATAAACGCAACAATAACAGCGTGTCGTGTTTCATCATAATGATTGCAAGTTAGAAACAATTCATCATCATCATAATTTAACACCCAGTTGATCTCAAACACACCTGTAATCAACACAAGGTAACATATATATCCAGAGTTGATAAGGTGTCGTTGATGTCTATGAAATGTACATGAAATATGTGATCGCTCATTTCAATAGAAGCTGACACTTTTATGGCTTATTAAGCTGTCAAATCACAGTGTGTAAAGTTTCATGTTTTATTTGCTCTGATCATAAAACCAACCTTGATGTTTTTTCTCATCGACTGTTTGTCCCTTACAGAGGAAAATATTAGTTAAGGGGTCATGAGTATTGATTTATACATTGATACAAGAATTTATGAATATTGAGGAAAAGAACAGATGTTTGCGTCATATATTCAGTGTGACATCTGTCATACAAACTAGTCTTCAATGTTCAAGGTAATAGGATATTTTGGCTTAGGTTTGGCTGAAAATGTATCTTTTGTCAGTGGTTAATGAAAAAGTTTGACATTCTATCCATGCCTCAGTCAAGTGTCAACATTTGACAAGACGTGTATTCCAGTCGTCAATTTTGACTGACATACATACAATGGTAGGTAATTATGGGTGCTGCTGGCTCATGTTCAGGGCTTACTGGTGGTGGCCGTGTATTGTGAGTGTATGTGGTGTCCAGAGGTATTGGGCAGTAATGTTGATGTTGATGTTGATGTTGTTAATAAACCTGTGACCTCTCTCACCTGTTTAGGACAGGTGTGTTGGTGGCTAGGTCATTTTGCAGTAGGCCAGATTAACTGTTATTACTTTTTGGTATTATTAATTCATTGCTTTAGGTAAATTTTTCTTTTTATTGTATGAAAGATTAGGATAATAAATAAATTTGATTTTTTAATTAATATATGTAATATTTCATACAATTCATAAACAACCAAAGACTAAAAGTATATATTTTTATATTAACAAATTGTGACAAAGGTAAAAACAATTGTGCCAGTTACAATAAGAAAATATTTTCTGTGTATATAAAGTCCAAGTGAAAAGTCCTCTGAAACAGACAACTTTCAACAACCAGGACAATTATCTTGTCCCTTTCATCTCATGTGTACATGAAATTGACACCTACCTGTCACGCTGACAAAAACTGATGCAGCCGATTGGACAGCTGTAGAAAAGGCTTATCACTTTAAGTGGCTAATTCTGCCCAAAACATGCATCAAGTGGCTAATTACAGGACTGGGAGCTCCTTGACTCCTGTGTAAAGAGTTCTGCTATCAACGACCTGTCAAAGGGGAATGTTCCCAGTACTGTGGGCAGGTGGGGCTGTCAACTCTGACAGGCAGGAATCAGCTGATTTGATACTGACGAGGCAATTGATCAGGAAATAAAATAACAGGCGGTTCTGTTTTCATGGTGTGTGGAGTGTTGATGAAAAGAAATTCTAGGTCACTATGGGATAAGAAAAGAATACTTTCTTCATTTGGGGAATGATTTGTAAAAGTATATATCCTGATTTCATGCGAAATATGAAATTGTGTGTTTATACTTCACAACAAACAAAATATCCCTAACTTTCTTTGTTCGGTATATATGCTTTTTTTCGGATTCTACTGATTATGATTTCATATGGTTCAACTAAATTGCATGTACAATTTATCAGGCATATAAAGCATATAAACTTTAACATATAAAAAAATGGTCTGTATAAGTTTATTTATTTATTGGTGTTTTCTGAAGACTTCACAGCTCTGTTCACCCCCATTGTTTGTTATGAAACACATGTGTAAAGGCTTCATGCTTGTTTAGAAAGGAGGTTGTAGCACAATGGTTAAGGTGTTGGCTTGGCCCACTGTTGATGGGGTTCTATTCTCGACATGGGGCACAGTGTGAAGCCAATTCTTCTTGCCCTCTGCTAAGATACTGCTGGTATTTTGCCAAATGTGTTATTAGTCCTGACTCTCTTACTTGTTTACAAAAAGTATTTGTGTTAAATATCAAGATTGATTGAAGTACAGTTATCTTGTTTTGATGTTGATATGTTCACAATATTATTTTGGATATGTTAAAATTGTAAGTTCTCTGTATTTTGATAGTAATTGATGTATTTTGAAAATAATTAAGCTTCTGACGAGAAACCTTTTTTTCATGTGTCTTTCTATCAATCTGAAGTAATAAACTTTCCAGTGTGGTTATAAATATCTTTTTATGTTCCAGGTTCCAATTTGGTGAGTCCGAAGAATAACAATAACAACTCGGTTTCCCATCGAGCTACTTCGCCAAGTAGTGCATCACAATCTGGTATTCCTACACCAGGTGGGCGGTCCTTGGGACGACCCACGCCGACTGCAGAGAAGCAGTCCAATAGGACGAGTGCTAGCTCTACTAGTTCCACTTCTTCAACAAAGAGCAATCCTTCGAAACCTAGTGGAAATAACAAGAACTCTATGTTGGACAAATTTAAATTTTTCAATTCTAAAGAGAAAGAGAAAGGAAAAAGTGGCGTTGTAAAAAGTGCTTCCAAAACTAGTAACACTAGTACGACAAGTACGAGTTCACGGAGTGACACAGATTCTAAGACATCATCATACAGTGCGCGGAGCTCGAGCTCCACAGATGCAGGAGCTAGTAGCAGTACAACAAATGGCTCAAGCAGCCCTAAACTCCCGGCAAAGACCGGGAAAAAGTCCTTGGCTCGTGCATTTAGCACGAAACGTGATAATGCTAATACTCTAGCCCCTGATAGTAATATAAATGTAGGCAAACGTAACACACCCTCACCTTCGTCACAAAATCGGACTCCTTCCCCCAATCCCTCGGCACGAAATTCGCCAGTTCCTGTTCGGAAAACAGAGGGTAAGGGTGTTAAGTCAGAAAAGGGGCCTCCCAAGGAGTGTCAGCCCAGCCCACCTACTTCAAAAAAGGGGACAAAAATTGGCAGCTTAATTCCAAAGTCTTCATCCTCCCAATCAGGAAAGTCCTCAAAGTCATCAGGGTCATCACAAATTCCTGCTCCAAGTTCGGGCATTCCAAAGTCTGCCTCAGGGAAATCCTCCAAATCAAGTAAAGAGGACCGCAAGAATGGTTCCTCCTCTTCATCACAACATAGCAAGTCCCTCTATGCCAGCCTCCCCGGAATGAATGCTCATAAGACTCTATCTTCCGGTTCACCAAAGGTCCAGAGTCCAGCATCCACTCCTGAGGGTTGCTACCCTAGCCTGTCAAGCATCCCCATCAGTCAGATGAGTCTCAGTCAGATGCAACAGCGGCAACAGCAGATGGAGAACCTGGACCAGCAACAGCTGCAGCAACAGCAAATTCTGATGCAGAGGGAGCACCATCCAAGGGTGAATCTTCAGGAACAGCAAATCCGTCAGGAACAGATACGACAGGAACAGATTCGACAGGAGCATATACGACAGGAGAACGAGAGATATGATCTCATGAGGCAGGAACAGATTAGGAAGAATGAACAGAGTCGGACAACGGAGCACAGCTCTCCCTGTATTACAGTTCCAAGAGCAACAGCTCACGTGATGGCCGAGATTACCATACCACCCAAGTCCAGTCATGGTAGTCAGATGGGTCATCTGTCGACCTTCAAGGGCGGGGACAGGTCACCAAGGAGTCAGATGGTAAGTCCAAGTCCTAGTGGGTCAGTGACCTTGACCCAGACTGTCAATGTCGTCAAACCCACATGTGCCATGGCACCAACCACAAGGTCAGTGACAAAGGCAGATGGGAATACGCAAACGAATTTGTCTGTGTTGCAAAGGACGATAACGCCAACCAAGTATCTGACTGAAGCCATGAAGGAGAACAGTAGTAATAGCATCCATTCTTCAACTTCATCACAAGTGGGAACTCCTGAGCAGGTGTCGAGTGATTCTACACCTTCCAGTCAAAGTGGACACTCGTCTTGTGATAGCATAGTCATGAAATCACCTGCCTCGGAACTCCTAGCCGCACATGACCGTGCAACTACAAACTCTCCCAAACTTGGAGTGAAAATGCTGAACTCGCATCTCGGCAAGCCCGCAAATAATATCGCAGTCGTACAGCCTCGGCATGGTGAAAAGGTTGAAACAACTTTTGACACTGAAGTGCGAACTGAAACTATTAATAAGAATTCTCTAGGAAAGGAAACTACTTTTTCCGAAAAAGAAACCACATTTGTTGATGATGCTGGTGAGACAATGGACATCAAACCAATGCCACCTATAATGCGTGCATTGCCTTATGGGTATTTCCGTGGTTACTCGGGCTACTCAGGACTGTCTTCCAGCCGTAACTTCCACATCCCAGGGATTTCAGTGCCCCAGACAACCATGTACGCAGCAAGTACGCCCAGTAGGCTTGGGGTCAATCGGCCCCTATTTGATCACGGAAAATACTACTCGGGGCAAATCAAGAGGACTAATTCTAACTGTCCCAGTGTGTCGGACACAGACTATGGATCTGATATCGACACCTACGACTATGTCTCAGGATATATGTCTGATGGCGATATACTGAAGAGCAACCGAGGAGAAGAATGGGCGAGTGGGTACCTGAGTGAGGGCGGAGCCTCTCTCTATGCACGGCGTCTGCAACAGCGTTTCCGCGAAGGGATGCAGGCAGTTCGGGAGTGTATGCAGAAGAGTAGTGGACTCGTAGACGATGACAGGTAAGAATTTACATTATGCATGACAAATAAATATACAGAAACTACGTTTATAACAAACACGCTTATAACAGACTGATGGATATTACGAACTTAATTTTTTGTCCCAGACTTTTGCTGTATAGATGTTGTATATAGGCTTATAATGAACTATGGTTATAATGAACTGAAATTAGTGATCCACTTGAGTTTGTTATAACTGTAGTTTCCTGTATATATACTTCAATGGACTGATGTATGGACTGATTTCATCCCGACAAGAAGACTTTAGCCAAAGACAAGATGGCAAGGACTTTATTTTAGTGTCACAGCAGATTAATAGTTCCATTCTGTGGATTTCTGCCCATAATGAATTTTTATGTTTAATTTCTGGAGGGTTATGTTATGTTTCTTGATAGGTAAGATATAATCAACTACTAAAAAATCAGTTCAAATTTCAATTTTTTGTTTTAATTTTGGGGTTATTACTTTTAACATTATTTTGGCCCAGACGTTGACAATCATTTGTTAGCCAGTTTACTGAACAGAGTTCTGGCACTGATGTCACACATAACACCAGTTAATAGCGTGATAAGTTTATGACACATTTATTTGAAGACATCTTTGATTTTTGGTAAAATTGACAGAATATAGACACTTAAACATCTTAGTTATTCTATCCAACCAGTCACAAAACATATATATTGTATATATTAAACCTTTTTGCCATCTTGATACTTGTAACTGTTTTGTTTTGTAGAAAGTTAAATAATTTATTGTACAGATCAATTTAATTCATCAACTGGTGGAGGCCATCGGAGGCGATCTACTAAATGAAGTGTCTTAAAATCCTTATTTGTATGCCATGAAAGGGAGAGCACTCCTGAGTCGCTGGTAGTCTGTAAATGATGACCTCAGACATTACTGACTGAAGAGGGATAAAATATATTTTGACACGGCCAAGTACTGACGGAAATTGACAACCTAACAAAGGAAGATATTTTGATTATGTGAAAAATATTATTCTACTTTAGGTATTAATTTCCTGAGAGTGCTTATGTGTAATTTCCTGTTTCTGAAACATCAAAAGCTTAATTCCTTTGAAGTTTTGGCGTCAAAAGCTGCCAACTCATAAGTAAACTGCTGTATATATTCTAAAGAATAACCTGTCTCTTTGCTTAATTGAGGTATGAATTAAATATACAATCTAAAAAGAAATTAAATAAGACACACAAGAAAATATAAGATAGAAATGTGTAAAAATCAATATTATTTCATAATTTTCCTCACTCATTTTTAACCAGTAAATGCCAAAATGTGCAAAGAAATTGTGCACTGATACAAAAATATTGGTTTTCGCACAGCTTCATTTTATGTTGATAATACTTGAATTGTGCCCAGTTCTTAAAGTTCATGTTGACATGAGGACAAAAACAGCCATTGGCAAAATTATGTGTCGTTCATGGTATTGTTAAAACAAACACTCATAGCTAAAGGCAGCTATTGCCAATGGTTCTAGCACAGTTATTATAGTATTTTGAAAAACAGTTTTTTTTCTCCTAACCAGTCATAATTGACAGGTCATAACGTCGGGTCGTAGTGACATATTCAAGTTATCAATTACGGTCCATAAAAAAATCTGTTTAAATTTAAAAATCCACAATGGGGGCGTCTTTTTCTAACACTTAATAATGTATTAAAAACCAGCAGGAATAATTTGAGGTATTATTTATTGTATTTATTTGTATCTGACATTTTAAAAATATGATTTTAATGGAAGATGTCATCCAGATTTTTAAAAGCATATTTTCAGATTCTTTTGAAACATATTTTGTTTCAAATCAGCTTGTTTAAGAATTTCTTTGTCTTTGTCTCGTTTAAGAAATGCTAATCAACCTAAACGTCCCTTAGCAGTGACTTCAAGCTTGGAGGCAAAGCCTGTGATTTTTGGCACTGAATTGTGATCGATTTTACCAGTAATTAACATTTTAAATTACATTTCTCAACACTCTCATTGGAACATTTTCTGTAGTCAGTGAGATTAAAAATTAACAATTGCTTTCAGCACATCCTCTAATGGAAGAAAAGACAAATCCTGTAATAAGAACAAAAAGTTTGAATGTTGTTAATTATTTGTGAAGGAAGTCACATGTGAATTCTTATGGACACTGATGTGAACAGATTAAAGAAAATTTCATTTTGAAGTTCTAAATTTCACTTTTTGAATTTGTCGTCTTTCTTTTTAAACTTCCTGGATGTTTTTTTACAAAGTATATTTATTTGACTGTCCTCAAATGTTTAGTCACTGCATGGTGAGTTTTTAGAACTTTTAGTGCTGATGATAGCATAAAGGCTTTTCTCTTAAGGTCATCATGGCCAAAAATGTCCTTTTATGGTTGTAATTAGACTTCATCTTGAACGTGGTCTTCGAGGCAGCTGTGGAACAGGGGAGGTAACTCATGAGTTATTGATGCATTGGCGATGAGAAAACAAAGACGTGGTATTTTCAGTCTGAGATACATCAAAATTCATATTAGGAAGTCTGAATGAAAAAATGGTCCAGGTTACAAAATTATTTACAAAATTTCATGAAAAATGGTTGCACAAATTTGGTAATAAATTGTTCCATGCTTAATTCAGCGATGCCAACACACCCATGATTCATTCTACACTGAATCATGTTTTAATTGGCCGCGGCCAGACTTTTCACCCAACCCAATACTCAACGTAGTGCTAACTATTATTGCCAAAGTTGATTACGGGAAAACGCAAGGAAATAGCAGTGCTATATTGCGTCTAATTAATTTTGTAATGGATTTGGAGCACTCTCTCTGCCAGTATCATGCAAGTGAATTACCTATTACTGTCAAAAATATCACTCATAGTTTTCATAATTACAGTCTCGCATAGGTAGGACAGAAAATGTGATGTGAATAAAGAAAATCTGTCACTTTTGACAGACAACAAACAAAAAATTCCTTTCATCTTTGGTCGATCTGTGCGTCAGCCTGGTAACCCTGAATGGTCAATTAAGTGTGCAAAGAAATACTGTCTTGCGTTGCCTAGCAACAAATTTGCTATAGTGATTCTCAAGAGTGCGTATATAAAATACATCTCATTGCTTAAATAATTACCACATTTGCAAATGAAAACATTTTCAATTCACATTTTCTTCTAAAAGAGGTATTATTTTTGACAAAAGTTTAACAAAGATTATTCAGATGAAAAAGAATGTGTGTTCAGTGGATGGAGGTTGTAGGCTTAACTAATGTATTTTCAACAGTAGAGAGTGAGGCAAGGAAGGTTATCTTTACTTTTATGGATTTTAGTGTGCCTGCACTGAAGTGTTGATTGAATTTTCCTGAGATAATATTTACTTATTGTTGGTATAAATTTGCTTTGTCTTTACTTCCTATTGGAATCAATATGACTCTCAGACCTTTTTAAATTCACCAAGACTTCATTCTTAAATTGGGCGTTGGGGTAGCCTAGTGGTTAAGGCGTTGGCTCGTCACGCCAAAGACTGGTTTTCGATTCCTGACATGGGAACAATGTGTGAAGCCTATTTTCTGGTGTCCCCCGCCATGATATTGCTGGAACATTGCAAAAAGTGGCGTAAAACCATACTCACTCACTCACTCATTGTTAATTTAACGTGTGTGTGATTGGACAGGATTTATTTATTAATTATTTCGATCCATGTGCATGAGGGGCGGCCTTATACTTTAACATAGATTTTGGGGGAACGGGTGGCCCAGTCATCCAAGGTGCCGCAAATTGCTGTGCAGAGTTGCATCCCTTGGGCACACCAGAAACCTATGATTGTGGGTTCAAATCCTGGTTTACCCTGATTATGTTTCTAGGTTTGTCAGCACCATACCCGTGCTCGTGGGTTTCACCGAAGTGGTAAACATCTGAGACCTGCATCACTTCAGGCTTTCCTCCCACATGAAACTGACACGCCGCGATATAACTGTAATACTGTTAAAAGCGGCGTTAAACCCAACTCACTCACTAACATAGACTTGCGACAATCAAAGGCTGAGATCACTTTGTGGAAAGGGTCCCCTACTTGGGTCAAAGATAGGGCAAAAGGGGTTATGGTGACCCCTTGGGGAGCAGAATACTGGAAGTCTTCTGAGGTTTGATAGGGTTAACGGGTTAACAATTTCTGACATCTCTTTTGAATTTTATGTTAACAGATTTACAGAAAGTAAGGTACACTCTGATATGTATGTTAATGTATTAAAAGTTAGATATCTTGTTTTGTGTGTTGAAACATTCACAGTTCAGAACCATCATCTGTTATTTGTAAGGGTTAACATGTCATTAGTTAAGCTGTCAGGTGCTGGTTGAAAGGTTAACGAATACAGATGTGCAGATCTGTATTTCTGCTACAGAGTCTTGTAAAGGTGTAGTGATTTACATTGCTATAAATATGTCTACTGTCACGATTGAGGGGTTTAAGCATTTATTTGGTTAGAAGGTAAATTGTGTTTCTGTGCCTTTCCTACACTTCTAGCCACTGTTTACTCAGGGTTAGGTCATGGAGTACATTGACAGAGTAATCTGTGTTTCTGGTATCTGCTAATTTTGGATGAAAATTTGAAACAGCCATCACATCCTATGCCCAGGGGAGAAAGTCATTCAAGGGAGGTAATTGTGAAGGATTTTTTTCAACTGGTATTTTAACCCCACATAAAGGGAAGTAACCCTATCAAGGGAGATAAGTTTTCTGAAACCTTTCATCTAGTTATGTAACCTTACATTTACTTGACCTTTTTCTTATAGATACTATCACAGTCTTGATATCAGGCTATAAATGTCATAGATACAATTTGGCTGTGATCCAAAGATCAACAGACATTCTGAGCAGGTGGCCCTGATGTATTTATCACAGAACAAGTATTTTAGGCATTAATGAAGAAGACGCATAAAGAAACATTTTTGGATTCTGAGTAGGAGAGTATAGCAAGGACACCTTGTTTTCAAGATTCTGTCTATATTGGATTACATAACCACCT